CACCTTCTGGCTGCTGTAGGCTTTGGGTTTATGCCTCTGCCCCGGTCACAGTAATCCTCTGTTTGCATGGCATTATGACTTCCTGATCTGACCTACATTTTCTTTGCATGTTTTATCAGTACCAGCAGTTTGAGTACCACTGACAATGCAATAGTACAAACAGCTTAATAACGGCGCACAATTCAAGTGCTGATGAGCCCCACTTAGGAACAATATTTGGAACTGGAAGTCAGTGCTCCTCAAATTATAAATTAGATACTACAGACAGTTATGTGTTTAGTGTACCTGTATGCAAGGAACTAAAGCTGGGTGTTACTTCCTTTCTTTAGGAAATTAAAAATTAACAAATATTGATCAGTTACTATTCTTGTAATACGCTCTTTTGTGTCACAACTAAAGAATATATATATATTGCGTCCTGCACAGCTCTTGAGTTTCCCGAGGTGAGGACAGTGTAGAATGAAGAAAACAAGAGTCAAGATGCAGAAAGCTGAGGTCAGGTGGAGCCCTCTCTCCTGCTGGGAGCAAAGCAACTGCCCAATGACTGCAGCACATTTATTTATGTACTCAAGGGGCTACTATCAATTGAAACCCCTCTGCCTAGCAACTTGCTTGCTTGGCTCACCTTGGGTGCCTTGCATTGCCAGAGCTGGAACAGCTTGTTCACATGGCTTGCTTCAGACACTCCGTGTTCTCAGGGATGGTCTTGCTTTATCCCCACATGTGTGATCGCTCCCTAGCTTCAGCTTAACTTTTGGCAGCAGATATATATATCTGCCAAAAAATGCACACACACTTCAGCAGTTCACTGTATTAATAAATGTCTGGAAACACATGGCCAGTGCTTTGAGCTCCTCTTGTAAATGCAGAGGGCAAAGGTAACTTTTGTTAATCTCAGGATGTCCCCCTGAGTTTAGTGTTCAGTATTTATGCAAGTTTTTCCTTTCCTGTTGTACACATACTTTGGTGGGCTCTGTATATGTTATTATCTACAGATCCTCTACCATGATGCAAAGCCAACCACTGAAGAAAAGGATTCAAGCAGATTTTCAACTTAGTGTCATCTCTTTCCTGTTGTATCTTTGTTAGGCATCGAAGCCTTTGGTGCTCACTCCTTCTACCCCATATATTCAGTGTGACTCAGTCCTTCTTTTTAAATCAAGTCTCTAAATGTTTGAGCTGTTATGAGAGTGCAGAAGCTACCAACCAGAACTTTGAGAAGCAATTGCCATCTGTTTTGAAGGACAAAATATACTCTGTATCTCTAGATATATTCATGCATTCTTTTTCTTGGTGGCATTAGGAACTGAACCCAGGGTCTTCAAAATGAGCTACATCCCCATCATGTTTTTTTTTACTTTGAGACAGGATCTCCCTAAGTCCCTGAGTTGCCCAGACTGGGTTTGAATGTGCAATCCTCCTGTCTCAGCCTCCCAGAGTGCCAAAATTAGAGGCATGTGCAACATGGAATTTTTACAGTGCCTCTTCTATTGCAATCTGTTAGCACAGATCTCTGCATTTATTCTCTGAAGGGATGATTATGAATGACTGAACAAATGGACTTGATTAAAAGATACCTTGTTTTCCAGGTGGTAAAGATGAATTGTAACACATTTGTGGAATTGTACCATGCAGAAATCAAATGTTTCATTGCTTTTGCTTTGTTTCACTATTATTTGCATGGGCAGTAATGTTCTTCATTCCTCTTGGCCAATTCCTGTTTAAAAATGTAGTTCACACTGAACAGTCGGTGAGAAGGCTTTCCCTCCAGCCAGGTGCCAGAATGACCTGAACTCCCCTAGGGATGCTGTGGTGTGGCAGGTCCTGCGTAGGAAAGACCCAGGAGGGATTAGAGTATCTTTGCATTCAACCTGAGTACATGTTCTAATTAGAGTACATCCCGCTCAGCTACCCTTCAGTAAAATACTGGATAGAAACACTGATCCAAGAACTAATCTAGGTTATCATACTAAGTCATCTTACTAAGTCATTTACTCCTTAGACTAATAATGTAAACACAAATGTTAGCCTTCTTTAATATAAGTATTGAGGCCCAGAAATATGAAGCAGATGACTTGCTAAGTTGTTACATCTTGTAAGGGACGGAACTAGGGTGGAAGTTCTCTAGTGTTTGTCCTGCAAGACTGAGATTCCATGCCTGTCACGCTGCCTTTCTGAGAGATGTGTGGCTGAGCCCTTAGCAGGGCTCTACCTCTGAGGATGCTTCTGTGGCCAGGGCTCGAGCTGTCTCATTACCAAGCAGAAAACAGCCAAACAGTTTCCATATTTGGAGACTGAGTGGCCAGGTGGTTAATTCAGTAATTACCTTGCTTCTTCCAGCCAGCCTTATCTCTTGCTCCCTGACTTCCATACATGGCTCCCAAAATATTCATTAATATAAATCACTGGTCATTCTATATATGCAGTCCTGGAGGATAACTAGAAATCCTCATTACCCAGAATGTTCTTTAACATAGAACTTTTCTTTTTTTAAAGTTAGCTGTTGCTATTCTCTCAAATGAAAACTATGAACAGTGAAACAAATTAGACGATTGTGTACAGGTATGAACAATAATAGCAAGAACTGATGCTAGACTCCAGTTTGTTTCATTATTACTCTTAATGTTATAAACATTTTTTGTGGTTCTTCTAAGTATATACTCCAGTTCTACAGGTTTTGAAAATTTAGAACTTTCAAAAATAAAAAGTTCCTACTTTACCCTTGCATTTCTTCATTCTTTCAGTCAACAAATATTTGTGCCCATTTAATGAGTACCTACAATAATTTTAAAGATTAAATTTCAAAATATACTGGCCCACCACAAAACTTCATTTCATTCCCTTTGCTTTCTCTCCTCCATCAGAGTATTTGTTTTGTGTTTCCTCTTGCTGCCCAGATCAGTGTTCGGGTTTGCATTAATCAGTGGATTTTTTCACTTTCTGTCTCGCTTTACTGCATCTTTGATACGTAGTAACTGTACCTATTTATGGGAACTGTGTGATGTCCTGACATGTGTGTATTGTTTAACAGTCAGATCAGGCAATGTAGCATATCCATCTCCTTCAGTAGAATGAGATGCTCTTGTGAAATAGTTCCAGATTATTCAATGCCATAACACTTCTAGGATAATAGAACTAAGTTCCCTTGACCCGTTTCATAGTCATGCTCATGTGGCATAGGACAAAACTTTAAATTTTAAAATTGTTATGCATATCCCAAATGTACTACATGTGTATCAAGGAAAAGCATACAGTGTATAATTGTCAGCCTCCTCATGAACATCATTATTCTCAGAGGACTGAAAATCATTATAGGAAAAAATTAAAAATTATGAGATGAAACATGTTTCTATGTTAGTATTAACATAAAATTATTAAGAAAATTATTGTAAGAGTTCAAGTATTTTATTGCTATTTACTTGTAGTCAATTATAGTCAAAGGTATGGAGTGCATACTTTTGAGTAAATATTTGTTAAAAGATTTGGAATGTGGATTTATCAAAACACATAATTTTCTACAGAAGTAAGACTTCTGAAGGGACTAATTTTTCATTGGTACTACACTATCACACAGTTGTCTCATTTGATCTTTATAAATACTCTGTGATTTAATTGTGCCTGTTATAGAAAATGCAAAAAATGGAGAATAAAAGAGAATAAACAGCATGCAGGAGAGCTTCCCTGCAAATATGCTTCTCTCTCTTTCTACAAATTTCTCTGTGAGGAGCAGTAACCTGTAACCTGTTTCACAGACTCACAGTATTTATTCATTTTCATCAAATGTCCTAGATTTCAGAAATACACATAATACCCCAGAAATCCTTGGCGTGTTTCATATTATGATGTCTGTTAAAGAAACAGCTAGTGGCATGTGAGACAGGAGCAGAAGTATGATGCCAGAGAACAGAAAAAAGCCATGAAGAAAATGAATTTGGAAATGATGAAAAGGCAGTGAAAGCATGATTATGACAAATGTATTTCATTAAAGAATAGCTTCTGTGTCAAAAATCCGTAAGTTCCTGTATTTTCTATTACTTTTGGACCACTGGTATCTGGTGATGAGGGAGAAGGGAGAGAATTCATGTATTGGGGCTGTGAGAAAAAGGAAGGAAAGGCGGAAGACCTGAGATCTGGTTGTAAATATGCTACCAAACACTTGGACAACTCTGAGAACAGTGCTTTATTTTAAGTGCAATGATCAAAATGATATCTGCTTGTTGGTAGTCTAACATTGAATGATTCCTGAGACCTGTGCTTCTCAAAAGGCAATTTCATGACCAATCAAATAAAGAAAAAACTTTATCGACGTATGCTTTATCTCATTCAAAATAATTCTAATAACTTTTTATTGCAGTCCAATCTTTTTGCTTCCTATAAAAGTTGCTAAAACATTGAGAAGAAACTAATATTACTAAGGAACTCTGAAGTTCAAAGAAAATAGCCGAAATAAATAATCATGAAGAATCTTAAAACAGTAAATAGGATGTTCACTCATGTTTGTTTTGTTTTTTTTAAAGAAAAGTTAGAGAATTTGAGAATTACGTTTTAAAACACTGCAGGATTAGAATGGGACTAACAGCCACTCTGGCAGAGAAGTAGGGATGGCCAGAGATGTGAAATACGAAACTTAACGTGGCGAACAAACATCTTCACAAATGTCGCTTAGACCCACTAAGCATTCTTATATACGTTAATTTAGATGGAAAATGATTTTCTAAGTGATCTAGCGTCTGAAATATAAACCTACATGCACAGTGGGCTTGGTACTGATTTCCAAACTCATCTCTAACTCTGTAAGGGTTTATAATAACAACCGACTTACCGAGACAGAAAAAAGTGTTCATCACTTAATTGTTTTTGCAGCCAAAACTTGAAAGCATGCGTAATTTCTGTTGTATTTAGCTGCGATTGCAGGAACATACATGGCATCGTCTGGGTGTGAGTGTCAGCTATCCTGTCTCTCTGATAATAAAACACGCTCTTTGTTTCCTTGATCACAGACGAAAGGATCCCAAACCATGACTCCCTCGGGCTCCCAGAAGAAAGTGAAGCGGACGCTGCCCAACCCGCCCCCCGAGGAGGCGCCTGCGGGCTCCCCGGCCTCCTTCGGCACGGCGGGCCCCACGTCCCGCAGGCGGATCTGCAGGACCAACACCATGGCTCGCGCCAAGATCCTGCAGGACATCGACCGCGAGCTGGACCTCGTGGAGCGGGAGTCGGCGAAGCTCCGCAAGAAGCAGGCCGAGCTGGACGAGGAGGAGAAGGAGATCGACGCCAAGCTGCGCTACCTGGAGCTGGGCATCAACCGCAGGAAGGAGGCCCTGCTGAAGGAGCGCGAGAAGCGCGAGCGCGCCTACCTGCAGGGCGTGGCGGAGGACCGCGACTACATGTCGGACAGCGAGGTCAGCGCCGGCCGGCCGCCGCGCATGGACAGCGCGCACGGCCTGGAGCGGCC